TGAAGGTCCACTTGGAAAAATACATTTCAACTCCTAAGGTGGATATGATTGTTTCACTTGGTTGTTTTTATTTGTTCTCAAGATTTCTGATAAACAGTGGAACCCAAAACCAAATAATTCTATTAAAAACATTTTGGGCTAAAGCCCCTCTTCTACAAACTTGCATAATATTCTTACTTGAATCTTGAAATGTATAATTTCTCATGGCACAGCTGAGACACTTTGTTTCCTGGCTCTAAAGCAAAATGTAATCTTAACATGTGTCCAGTACCTCTTAAAATATACTCTGACTCATCTCCCAAACTTCAGGACCCATATTCCTGCTGTAAATTTGATGTCCAAATACAAATTGAAGCCTCAGGGGATGTGAGCTCAGTTAGAGTTGAACCCTATTTATAATAAGCAATCTCCAGTTGTTTTCCTTATCTTTCTGAGAGATTTCTGGCTCATTCAAGAAAACTGGGTTGGAAATATTAGTGAGCCCAGCAGTGCAGGCAATGGAATTGGGTTAAAAGAAGCCTTTGAGGAGAGAATGGACCCACTGAGGGCTAGCAAGATTAGACATGAAGCATATTGAACTGGTCAGAGCAGTTTTCTGCATGTTTAACCAGTTGTAGAAGCCATCCTCTGTCTGCCAATTTCTCCCTGCTAAGAAGCTCCAAAACCACTTTGTTTCTCCTGTGAAGTGCATGGCTTGGGGGCAATGGCTGAAATGATATGGTATTGGGAGGTCATAGTGATAGGAGGAGAGAGGGGTTTTGAAAAGGCCGGTTGGTATGTCCCAATTCAGTACGGTGCTAAAGACTTTATTAACTTGCGAGAGATGACTGTTCAGTATACTGGTAGCTTGAATGTGGCCGTACAAATTGGTACATGCTACAAATAAGCCCCCTCACCCCACCCACCAAGAGCTGGTTTACCAGTACAGCACTGTCTGATTTTAAGCTTCTACTACTTTCTAGACGTTCTCTGTCTCCCTCTGGTTGCTTGTGGCACTTTCTTTGGCCCTTATCTCCAGCTATCATCAATATTTATGTACCTCCTTCAATTCCTGACTACATGGGTCATAATATCTAGCATAGAGTAGATACTTAACAAATGTCTGCTGTATCAGTGGACCCATAAAAGGTACACTCTTCACACTAACTTAAAATTAAGAAAAGGTACATCTTCACCAGCAGCATTTCTTTTTCATTCCTTCCTTCACTTTTTTAATGCTTAATATGCACCTAGCATGTAGCAATGTAGTATGCCCTGTGAGATTTACCAAATAGTAAGGCATGCTCCTTTTCTTCAGGAAGCTCAGTTTTCTGGGGAAAACATATCTAAATAACCACACTACACTTATATCTCTATACAGATTTCCCCGCTATCTGAAAGTAGAGCCTTCCTATGAAACCTTTCCTAAGCCGAAATGGCATAAAGCAAAGAAGCAATGACCATTAATTTATATGAAACCATCTTTGAGCATTCTCACCTCCAAAAAAATAACCACTCTTAGGCTCTTCTGATACTTTTGTGGTAGGGTCCCCTCCCTAAAGGGGGAAAAACAATCTCAAGCCAACCTGGCTATATACACTTACATATCCTTCACGACCTTGTAACATCAGACTGCATGTTTGTGTGTCACCTTATATAGAAGACAAAGAAGTAGGAAATGTATAAAAAACTATGCCAAGTGGCGTTCAGGGCTCCATTCTGAACCCAAACTGAGCCGCGCTGGCAGGAATAAAGTTGCTTCCTGGAAAGAAAAGCCTGGGTGTCACGACTCTCTGTGCGAGAATTCTGCCACACCTTAGGACACATCTTGCTAACAGATGCACAGAATAAATTGAGATAAAGTGCAGATGCTCACAGACACACTCTAAAGCTATAACAGCTTGATACAAACCTGCTGAATGTGGTTCCCGGGGAAGGAGCTTGGCGGGGCTGCTCCGAGTGCAGGCTGCCTCCATAAGTAAGGCCTTGCTGCAAAAAAAATGCTGAATGTGACCTTCACTTTTTGCCTTTCTCCCCAAAAGTGAAATTCTTCTTTGGATTCTTTTGGGGGTATTGAAAACAGGTCCTAAGGTAGTCTTTTATAAAAGAGAAATAGCTGACACAAACTTTTGAAAAGCGAGGGATACCTGTATTAATAATAAAATATGAATAAAGATAGCATGTTCAATTTTAAGAATGAGTATGTTAAGAATATTAGTGTGTTTTTACAATGAGTGAGCTCACAATAATTTTCAATAACCTAAAACTTGAAACATTATAAATATCAGTAAGGGACTAATTCAATAAGTGATGAAATACCAATAAAATGGAAGAGTATGCAGCCACTAGAATTAGGTAAACTTATATATATTGATATGGAAAGAATTTCAAAGATGTATTTTTCAAAAGAAGAAAATCACAGTGAGAATTTGCGTGCATACAATAATTCTTTTTACTAAAAGGATGTATATATATTGTATGTACACAAGAATGCTATATATATGTGTGTGTGTGTATGTGTGTGTGTGTGTGTGTATATACATGTGTGCGTGTTAAAGAAAATCCAAATCTCTTTAGAAGATATTGTGGGGAGGTAGAATTTTTGTATTTTTGTTTTTACACATTTCAATTCTATGTTGTAAATTTCAATGGAGACTATGGGACATTTTTGCTTTCTTCTTCAAAATTTTCTATAATAACAAGTGCCTGTCCGTTCAGGAAGTGTTCTTTGAATTGTGTCTCTTGGTTTCTCTTGTTGAGACTTTGGTTATTTTATTTCCCTACTCGTAGCGGTATTTGGGACTCTCCACCATGTGTACTTTGGCTTGTTTCTTGAGGTAGCCCTGGAAAAGAAAGCAGACAGACAACCACACAGGGAACAAAGGTACACAAACGCACAGACAAATACAACAAACACGCAAACCGAAAGGAAAAAAGAAAAAGAAAAAAAGGAAGGGACAAAAAGCAAAACAAAACAAAAAAAAAATAAAGAGGAAGGAGGGAAGACAAATAATAAAAATAAAAATTAATAAAAAATTAAAAAAGAAGAAAAGAAAAAAGAAAAAACCAAAAGACAAAGGACAGTCTAAAGGCATAAAACCAGAATTCCCAGCTACAAATAAAGAGCCAGGTGTATGCAGTGCTGATGGAAGAACATATACAAAGAGAGAAATGACAGGGCAGGGAGGAAGCAAAATTGGAAATAAAATCTCTCTTAGTTAGAGAGACTAAGAGGCTTGATTCAGAGGGAGAAATTGTAGAATATGTTTAGAGGCGAGGAGAAAGAAATGAAGATATTACTCAGAGAAACTATATAGTCTGATTACTCCAGAGAGAGACAGATAAGAAGGTAGTGGTGGAGGTGTAGCGTGTACATCTAGAGAATGGATTAAATGTGATTGTTTAAGCAAACCAGTGACCAGAGTGCCCCGACCCCCAGAGTGGGGGGTTACAAATGAGAAAAGGGAGAATATATCTGAATAGAAAGAATTATCTAGACTTAATCATGGCAGTGCATCCATGTTGGTCTTGCCCTGGGCTCAGGTAAAAAAAAAAAAAAAAAAAGCAGCTCTCTAGTGGGGATGGGCGTGGTTTGGTGTAGGCACTTGTTGGGATGAGCACTGGGTGTTATATGTAAACCAACTTGACAATAAACTATTTAAGAAAAAAATTTTTTCTATAATAAATAATTCCATAATATTCTTTAGAAAACTATTAGTATGTGTTTAAGTTTATATAACATTTGGTAATATTTATCAAAAATGCATCAAAAATATTTATTAAAAAACCCACCTACTGTTTGTTCCAGTATTTTGACTACCATTGGTAGTCTACCAATGTCTCCAAAGAAAAGCACAAGGTTTATATAAAAGGATGCTTGAAAAATAAATAAATAAATAAATAAATAAATAAATGTATGCTTGGTGCATCACTTATAGTGATGAAAACCTGGGAGAAAATGCCCATCTGCAGGAGAGAGGTTAAACAAATTATGGTACATCTAAGCAATGGCATATCAGGCAGTGGTAAAAAATAATGAAATAAATAAATCTTGAAAAATGCTTATGGTTGCAAAGCAGTATATTATTCCTTCATTATAATAACAAAATGCATTCATACATGCAATGGAGTTACATCCAGTGAGGGGTTTGGTCTTGAAGCAAAGTCTTGAAGCAACTATAGACAAACCCGCATCTGTGAACACTAGAGCCACACTCAGCTCTGTGAGATGTTCATCCTCCACAGGCCTGAAAACTTAACTCTCCCAACAGTCAACAAACTCATGGCTTACATCCCAAGCTCTCTCAGGACAGTGTGCTCATTGAGTGGGATAGTGGCACCTGAACTTCTCTGTTTACATTACTCTTTTTGTATATTTCTATCTGTTTCTATATGTTTTTATGTGCACATGAGTAAGTTATAATGCAACTCCAATACGTAAATATTTATAATTTGAAAATATCTAAAGGGCCACCCACCACAGTATTAACTGTTTGTTCTGAAGGGAAAATGGTAGAGTAGAAGAAGAGAATATTTTTTCTTTGTGCCATTTATATCATTTGAATTTTTGAGAGTGTATTATTTTATACTTAAAATATTGAAAACGAAAATGTTTTTTTTTTAATGTTTTATTTATTTCTAAGAGAGAGAGAGAAAGAGAGAGACAGTGTGAGCAGGGGAGGGTCAGAGAGAGAGGGAGTCACAGACTGAAACAGGCTCCAGGCTCTGAGCTGGCAGTCAGCCCAGAGCCCGACGCGGGGCTTGAACCCACGAACCGCGAGATCATGACCTGAGCGAAAGTCAGATGCTTAACCGACTAAGCCACCCAGGCGCCCCGAAAATGAAAATGTTTAAATTGGTATGGTTAACACAAATTCAAGGATGTGCGGGGGGGCATGAAGCGAGAAGAAAGTTTGGATTTGATCCTGTAGATAATGGGAATCACATGGAGATTTTGAACCTGAAGGGTGATGTGAGTCAGTCTGTATTTTTGGAAACATAACATATAGGTGGCACTGGTGAGAGGTAGACTGAGTTTAATGGATTAGTTCTCTTCTGGTCTTTATATAATAAGAGCATTTATATAGTTTTGGGTAGAAATAACCTGCAATAGGAGTTCATAGGGTATGGTACTCAAGTGTTTACATGTCTATACAAGCAGACAGTTTAGACACTGAGTCTGTCCTTTCAGCTCTAATGTCATTCCCATCTTGCATCCTGCAAGTCCTTAAGTGTTCACAAGTGTCTTGGGAAGAGGGAAATTTAGTCTGCTTCTGAGTCATATGGGTGGACCAACAGTGGTTAAGGTTAGAAGGTTCTTAGTAGAGGTTGGCCTTTGCGGAAGTACAGAAATGAAAGCTTCCTGTTCCTAAGGTAGTCAAGAATGTCAGGCAGCCATTTCCAAGTTGTCATTTGTGGATGGCTTGGGTTATACTCAGTGGCAATGACTTCCAGCCAACTGATCAGTTCCCTTTGAGTTAAATGATTTCAGTTCCTTCACCTGGTGATGTTCATATGGTACTAATCTCCTCTAGAACTGGTTCAGATAAAAATCACCATGTGAGTATACGGTGGATGGAAGCCCAGTGGGGTACCTGCCACTGGTTTTGAAGCACCTCATATGGAGTGAGGTGACCCAGAAACCCTCCAGAAGAAGAAGAGTCAGACAGGAAGGAGAAGCACCATTTGTATATGAATTTGACTCCAGAATTCTGTCTACTCTTGTTAGTAAACACTGAATGCTATCCAGGAACATGCAATGGGGCTGGGTGAGATCCTCTGTGTTGGCAGAGCCCTGTCCTGACCTCAACAAGCCTTTGAGGGAAGGTTGCTTCCTATCCATTGCTCAGTTGAGATATCATCAGCCTGTAATACATCTGAGGTCCACATTGATACCATTCATACAGATTATTTCATTGAATATATACCCAGCCAGTTTAAAGAACTGGCTGTCCCAGGAAGGATGGGTTAAGACCAGTTCTAGTATTTTTCACATCACAGAAATTAGACAATCATCCTGTTCTCTGTTTCGAACTCAAATCCAGGGCCAATCTACTGGCTCCATGTCTTTATACCTTTGTGGTAACTTTATTTTGGACATTTTGTTATCCTCTCTGCCCAATGACCTTGATTGGTACCATCCTAAATAGGTCTTTCCAATTCATTTGTTCATTCATTCATTCATTCATTCATCTTTTCAACAAATACTATGTTCATTGAGAGCTAATGCGGGTTAGACACTATGTGAGGCATTAGACATATAAATGTGAGCAAAGAGAGTCTTTGACCTAATGTTGCTTAAAGCGTAGAGGAGGATTGAGATATTAAACAAAGGGTAATGACATAAACATAAAGTCACAACTGTGATAAGGCAGTGATGGAATGGTACAGGAGAGGTTATATACAAGAAGAACCATCTGGTCAGGAACATCTGGGAAGGCTTCACTGGGCAGTGACTCTTCTGTGCTCTTCCTTCAGAAGTGAAAAAGCCTGTCTTCTGGCCAAGTTGATCTACTTCCTACCAGAAGGTGAAGCAACATCTCCCAAGTCATTCTAAAAAAGAGAGAAATAAAGGAGTCCTTTCATACCATACTTCTAAATCAGTGAGGCTTACTCAGCCATATTCATATATCTGAGGGCTACTCAAATGACTCTGAAGGACAAAAAGAATAACTAGAAAGCAAACAGATGTACCCTGATATATTTATTAAAATGTTACTTAATATTTATGTAATATCACTGAAGGGTATAGTCCCTTGCTGACATCCGAATCTGTGGGGCTATCAAGCAACCATTTTCCACCTAGTATGCGCACTTGTTTTCCCTGGGAATGTATTTTTCAGTAGCCAGCCTATTAGAGCTTGTTTCTAATTTTGCAAGGTCCTGTAGGATTTTGATCAGCAATTATTTCTTTTCTCCACCTGGAGACGTGTTGTAAATTGCCTTTGACTAGAACTGATTCAGTTATTTAATTATAATGCTGAAGGAACTTTGAGAGATAAATATAGTTGTCACATGACAAATTACACTTTCTGGAATTCCCAGGTCAGAATTTCCAGCCATAAGCAAGGGTGTTATTTGGCATTTCTGAATGGAGTCTGACTAAGAGGCTCCCTGCTCAGAAACCAGGAGTGCCTGTTGCCGGCACTAGTTATTAGCAGTTTTGGGACTATGCCCCACCAGTGAGGTGTTGCAAACTTCTCTTTAGAATTTCCCCAGTTAAGAGAAGACTCATGAGTCACAGTGTCAGGAACTAAATAGTTAGGCACCTTGATTTTCAGGAAAATTTGTCTGGTTCAAAAATCATAAAAATAAATAAATGCTATCTATTTAGAAAGAGGTACAGGAATGTGTAGGTGTGGAGAGTTTGAAATGGATACAAGCACCCATATGGTAACTCCCTGTTCACCCAAAAGACCCATAAAAATGAAGACTTCCAGGGCAACTGGATTGAAAGGATTATAACTAGTTTGAAATGTTAACATTTTTTTAAGTCATTAGATGCTGTGTAGGAATCACAATGCAGTGGACTCACAAATTAAATAGATTGACTGGGAGTAAAAATAACACCAACAAGGTAGTGTTCAACTGTTGCTAAGAAACTGATCAACTCTAACATGTAGGGGTTATTAAAGATAATCCCCAAATGATGGAGTTTAATGTTGAAAACAGGAAGAGACAGTACAACTGTATTTATTTAAAATATGTATGTCTTACACTTAAATTGTGTGTTAATTTTTTATATCGATTATTCATTGTGAACATCATTACAATCCTTTCTTTGTATGTTGATATGAGTTTGTTTTTCATTTCTGATTATAAACACAACATGTTTATCATGAGTAAATCAAAGAACTAGAAGGAAGACAGAACAGAAATTCACAGAGAAATCCCAACTGAGCTCATTATTGCTAAGAATTTTGTCAACATCCTTACAGACACTTTTAAGTAAATATCAGTAGGTAGCAGTATAATAATTTTGTATTTGCTGCAAGGTTAAGACATTGTGGTCTATACACAGTCAGTCTCTTTTCCTCCTATTCCCTTGAAAGGAAATTTTGTTCACTTAGCATTTTCTTCTTTCCCCACCTTATTATTCAGATTATGGTAATCACTGATTATTTTGTTTTCAAGATTTCTGATAAACAGTGGAGTCCCAAACCAAATAATTCTACTAAAAACATTTTGGGCTAAGATGGACTAATTCCTATAAAGCCCCTCTTATACAAACTTGTATGATGTTCTTACCTGAATCTTGAAATGTATAATTTCTGATGGCACAGCTAAGACACTTTGTTTCCTGGCTCTAAAGCAAAATATAATCTGAACATGTGTCCAGTACCTCTGAAAAGTTACTGAAGAGGAAAAAGGGACAAAAAGATGAGTGGTTGGTCAATTTGGGGGCAGAGTTTGTGGTTGAGACTAGGAAAATGCTGTTGGGGACAGAGCCTTCAGAAGCTGTTACCGTGTTAGAAAATAAGATGAAAGCGGTAGGGTACAGACGGTATTTTAGGATGTGGTGCTTTGGATTGGGAAATATATGTTCCTTAATGGTTTGAGAAAGTTAAGAGCCAGAATGAAATTACTTTGTAGTGCCTTTCAGTAGAAACTGATCTGTTTCTATGAAGGCAACACTGTTGAAGTGGATCACAGCAGGATCTGGGATTTACGGGATTTACACATAAATGGGATTGTATCAACCGCACTGCTTTGTAATTCCTTTTCTTTCAAAAATTATGTCATGGAGCTTCTGCTCAAGTCAACAAATAAAAATCTCCATGATTCTTTTCAGCAGATATAGAAGTTCTCTTATATGAATATACTATGTCTTCTTTCACTAGTCTCATGTTGGTGCATTTTGAGGTTGTTTCTACTTTCAGTGAACACCTTTGTATTGCAATGAACATCTTGGGTATATCTTTGTATATTGATGTGGCTATCTCATTGGAATAGAATACTAAGTATAAAATTTTCTGTATAAAATGATATATATTTTAAGTTTTATTACATAATATCAACAAAAAGTCCTGCTAATTTATATTCCCACCATCAAGTGTAAAAGCCCCATAGCCACGCACAGTTTCATTCTTATCATTTATCAGTTGGCGGGGATGACTACAATATCTAAGACACACATATGAGGAAGCTGAAACCCAGGCAGGTTAGGAGACTCTCATCGAAGGTGTTAGAACTGAGATAGTTCCGATTGTTGGCCTCTCTAGAGGCGTCCTCTGCCTGGAAGAGGCAAATGACAATAATGTCTGTTGGCCACAATGGAAACTAATGCTGCCTAGAGGGGAAAGGAAGATACTTAAAACTGGCAAATGAAACTATTTTCAGTTCAACTCATCTGTGCAACTGGGGCATACACACCATCAGAGTAAGATGACATGTATAAAAGTACTTTGTAAATCACTAGAGATTGAGGCACCATTTGGTGCCTAACTATCATCTGGATAGTTAGGATTATGTGTGTTTCACTAACAGAAAGGAATTATAAACACTGTGGTCTGACTTTGTGTTTGAGTGCCATTTTTATCTTCTGCAAACTGATAGCAACATTCCCAGTAAGTGAAGCATTTATTACAAAAACGTGCTGACAGGGTCAGTGCCAAGCTGGGCCACTTCTCCTTGTGATACCCAGATGATTAAAAGACAGAATGTCCAATTCTGTGTGTCTTGTAGTAAATGTGCTCTAGACAGTATCTTCCTCTGTAAATCAATGTCCCCAGCTTGCCTTTGACCTTGGCCCAGCAGCCCTGCTCATTCTATGCTTATTTATGCTCATTTTGTCTCTAGAGCAGCTGGTTCAGACTGCCTTCTCTGAGTTTATTTTACTAGTGTGGGTCCTGCTGGACCCTTAAGGATTTGAGGCACTAGCACAGCTGTGTTTAACCTCGCCTGTGAGTCCTTGCCCGGGAAACCCATCTGAATTGGCAGTGCTTCTCATAACACAAGTGACACCAAATTACAAATGGAGAAAGTGTCTCGGTTAAAATAAACCGTCACCAGACAAAAGCTTTCTCCTTCCATTTTTTCTTTTTCTGTAAGAAAAACAGAGAACTGGAATTGATCTTATTCTTAGATGAGGTTTGTTGTTCTAATCTTTTTAAAAGCACTTATCTCAGATTTTCTGATCACCAGTAAGAAGGGGGAACAGTTATCTGCTTGTAGTAATACGATCCAAATCTAATTTTGCAGTTCTGCCTTCTATTTTGAAATAGAATAGTGCAGAGACAGTGGACTGAGGACTTGGTAATTGGAGCATGTCCTGTGTTGCCTGATTACAGGGACTCTCTGGGGATTAGACTGTCAGGATATTCAGATGCACAGGAAAGCAAACAGACAAAACTCCTGCCTCTCTGGTCCTTTCTCTGTGAGAACAGGACAGCCTTGAAGGTTGGAAACCTAAGTGAGGGAGGACAATTGTTTCTGTTAGCAGAGGAGGATGAATAGTAATTATTTTCAACTATGTCTTCCCCAAAAGGTGGTCTCACCGTTTGAGAGACACAGTCAATGGGAAGTGCCTACATCCAATATGATGAGTTTCATACTGCTTTAATTCTGGGAACCTTCATACGATTATACACAGGCCGACTTTTCTTCAAAAGTTGGCTTGTGCAATCTGCAAAATAAGAGAAGAGGGTCTTTGTAACTCACTGGTTTCGAAAGAAGTAAAATAGGAGCAGGCTTTCAAGTATCCCTAAGGAGGGCACTGTAGGATTGGTCTTGGAAAAGGATCTGAAGACCCAGGAGTGACTAGCAGGTCAGAAATGTAGCCAGGCTCTGGTTCTCTTCCATCAGCTACTTTAAACTGTCTAAGCTTCTGCCAAATGATGTTCTTAGCTCAGTATCGTCACTTATGCATTCTCCCCTTCATCACAGGACAGACATTCAGAATGCCAGTTCCCCGAATACTTTTCCAGTAGAATTCTGGGTTAGACCTGCCAATGATAGGAACTTAGGTGAGATTTGGAGAGCAGAAGAGGAAAAGGTAGTTTTCTCTCATGATAGCCATGGGTAGGGTGCTGTAGTCATCACTGATGGCTTCCCTCAGCTCTGAGGTTCCTTTAGACAGGCATCTGAGGACATCAGTGGTGGCTTCCTTGTGATGACTGCATGTCTCCTCAAATGACCTCTTGACCTTCATTCCTCTAAGTCTTCCAGTGGTATGTGAAATTCTAATTTTCTATATTAAATATCTCTCTACTTAAAATACATAGTCACTTTTTCCTCCCTGAATAATCCTGAATGACACAAAGGCTTATGCGCAAAGGTATAATACTTTGGTCATCTAATGTTGATAAATCTAAATTTTGATTAGCACCAAATTATAGACCAACATATGGCTTACAGACATAAAAATATGTATGGTATGGTTTATTTTAATAATGTTCAAAAGCAGACTAATTTGTGGTGTTAGAAGTAAGGACAGTGTTTGGAGAGGACTGAAGGGGTGGTGGTTGGGTGAGCCATGAGAAAGGCTTGGGATGCTGGTAAGGCTTGATTTCTTCATCAGGGTGGTGCTTAGTTGGTTGAGTTATTTTCTATAA